TCAGAAAAACTGGATAAATAGCCACTACGGGCTGGCGAGGCTACCTACTCTTTTTTATAAGTTTCTAGCAATATGGCTATAAGGGAAAAAACCAACAAAGGAACATTCCTCTCCATTCAAGATGGTCCAAAAGGTACTGCATGAGCCTCAAATATTTAAAAAGCTCAAGCCTTACATTAAACACACTACTCTATCATGGAGTCAGAGAAAATATTTTTAAAACCAAAATAGTCACAGATGTAAAATACTAGCTGCCAGCTTCCCTGTATCCAATGGAGCCTTGCTTCCAAGCAGTAACTTCTCCATGTTTTGTCAGGGTGGGTAAAACTGGAAGCTAAACACCCAAAAGAACCAGTGTCAGCCAAGGGTTTTACACTAATTATGATGTTGCATGGTGGTTAGATGTAAATGAGGACTTTTAAGCTCCAGTAAGGTTTTTATTTCTTTTTTGCTAGTTCTCTAGTACAACAGCCAGCAACCAATGTCACCAATTACCCTGTTAAATTATACTATTTAACACACTCACCTCAAATGATGCTTACAAAGGTCCTTATCTGCCTCCTGAATCACCACATTCGGGAAGTTTCTATCTCATGTCCTGCCCAAGATTTAATGGCCTGAGCAGCTCCTCTACATCTAATCCCCTTTTCAAGAATACACACCGAACCACTTAGGTTCTCTTCTCCCACTCACAGGCCACAGGTGCAGAAAAAAAAATAAAACCAGAGTTCAAGGTACAAAGAGGGGAAACTATTAAAATGAGCTCTGGCTTACAGTTAATAATTCTGAGAGTAGACAGTGAGATAGAAGTTGAAGTTATGATCCGAGTGATAAAGGAAACTAGGTAGAAGCTGGAAGGGCCAGGATATCATATGAAGTAGAAATTAAGGCCTTGTAAGACTGCAAGGAAAAACAACTACTGGCAAGTTCCTCTACATGTGAAAGCTCCTGAGAACATTCCCTTGAGAAGCCACAACCCTCATCCTCAAGGGAGGGAGAGAATGAGAACCATGGATGCTGGTGTGCGCTTAAGAGATGGAGAGAAACAAGATGAGAGCCTTTGGGGGGTAGAAAGAACAGGAAACATTGTTTGGTCTCTTCTCTCCTGCCCTAGGGACCCTAGAAGGATGATCTCGAAGTCAGAGGCAGTATCATTTCCGGGACAAAGATTAGGCTTTGTTGTCTGCATCTCTTTCCTCCCAATTCCTCCTAATCTATTTAAAAATTCCTTTTATGGGGGATCCCTGGGTGGCTCAGCGGTTTGGCGCCTGCCTTCGGCACTCAGGGCGTGATCCTGGAGTCCCGGGATCGAGTCCAGAATCAGGCTCCAGGCATGAAGCCTGCTTCTCCCTCTGCCTGTGTCTCTGCCTCTCTCTCTGTGCCTCTCATTAATGAATAAATAAAATTTTTAAAAAAAAAATCCTTTTATGGATAACAAATCCACTATTTAAGGCAAAAGTCCTAAAATGCAAATTTTTGAAGTCACACTTATTTACACCAAAGTGTAATAAGACAAGTTTACATGACTGAGATCCTAGCATTTTCTAATTTTAATTAAAACAGGTTTTAAAAAAAAGAATAGGACCTAAGTCCCTAAGAAATCAAGGCAGAGTGTAAACTCCCAGGTGAGAGCATGTATGTTGGGGGAAAGATGGAGGCAGACAAGCAGAAGGGGAAAAACAGAAATCTGCGGCCAAAATTAAACTACTGAATTTGTCAAGGTAGTCCTTTTTACTTTCAATAGTTGAAAGACAAGCATCAAATGTGGCAGAAATAAGGCTCTTAAAAAGTAGATCTAGAATACTAGTTTTACATCGATACATTGATTCTGACAAGTTTCCACCTGGAACAAGGAAAAATACATGATTTAGGAACTCCAAGGTAAGTTCCTAAACTAATTTTGGCTAGCACACATCAAAAGAGAAAAGAGTTATTTTATATATCCAAGTATGAAGAGCAGGAATGTATTTTCCCGTTAAATACTCCACGGTCTACAATGACAATTCTAAAAACTCATTCGTTAACGTATTAAAATAAACTAATGGTACCCAGGAGCGATAAGAGAAAAATAAAGCAGTGAGTAAAGGATAGATAGCAGGGGCAGAGTGCTTTCCAGGGGTGGTCAGAGAAAGTCTTTCTGATAAGTTCTCTCTGAACAAAGACCTGAATTAAAAGAAATGGGAAAGCAGACCACACAGATTTCTGGGGGAAGAGCAAAGGCTCTAACGTGGGAGTGTGCCTGGCACTATCAAAAATATGTCAAGAAGGGTAGTGGGGCTGAAATAGAATAAGCAAAAAGGAAAAGTATTAGGAAATGAGGATAAAGAGGGAAGGAGAAGGCAGAGACCACATGTCCTGGTTTGCCAAAGAAAGTCCTGGTTTATGCCTGATGCTCCGATATTATTTTTTAAGATTTAGTTGAGAGGGAGAGCGAGCGTGCTCATTTTGCATGCAAGCAGGAGGGGGGTAGGGGGAGAGGGAAAGAGAAAATGAATCTCAAGTAGACTCCCTACTGAGGATGGAGCTCAATTTCATGACTGAAATCACAGCCTGAGTTGAAACCAAGAGTCAGATGCTTAACCAACTGTGCCACCCATTATTATTAACACCACCACCTTTCATGCTCAAAAGTGTCCTGATTTGGACCATAAGTCTTATAGTCACTCCATATACAGGTGACTATAAAATGTTTTTACTCTAAATGAGATGGAGAACCACTGGAGAGCTGTGAGCAAAAAAGTTTTAAGGATCTTCTTGGCTATTTTATGGATGACAAAACTGCAAAAGGAAAAGGGTAGCAGTAGAGACATCAACTGGCATACTACAGCTAACATGGGCGAAGGATTCATACTCAATGGAAATGCTGAAAAGTGGCCGGACTCTGAAATCAGGTGACAAGACTTGATGTACTAAGTATGGGGCTGGAATAAAGAGGAGCCAAGAATTGAAATTTTTGGCCTAACCCACAACAGGAAGAATGGAGATACTCTTTAGTAAAATTGGAAAGGGGTGGGGCAGGGCGGAGGCAGGGGGGATTAAGTGGAATTGACTGAAATGCCCATTAGGAATTTAAATGTAGCCATTTGGATATATAGTCTGGAGTTCAGTGAAGTCTCTGCTGGAGATAGAAGTATAGGAATCATCATCATCATATAAAGGATGCAGGATTAAAACTATATACTTATTCTACTGCAATAAAATAGACGTTTCTTCATAATTAAGTTGTAAAATAGAACACAATATAATTCAAATTATTTCTACAAATCATCTATGAAAGAACAAATTATACAAATTACACAACCACTGACATCGTTTTCAACATTTTTCCATAGCTATACACTGGGTAGGTGAGCTTCATATATACGTAATTTTTTCATGGATACCCTTAAATTTTTATGAAATCCAACAGTAATTGGTTCAGGGAATTACACTACTATAATAGGACCTAATCATGACAGCTACTTAAGTTTCTCACTCGACAGGGTAGCCTTCTTTCTGTTCCATTCAATAAAGTACCATATGTCAAATCGAGTGGAATGATGTTTTACAGGAATAAGTGGAACCTATTCTAACTTTCAGTTATCTGCAAACAAATATTTTTTTAATTATTTTTTTTTAATTTTTATTTATTTATGATAGTCACAGAGAGAGAGGCAGAGACACAGGCAGAGGGAGAAGCAGGCTCCATGCACCGGGAGCCCGACGTGGGATTCGATCCCGGGACTCCAGGATCGCGCCCTGGGCCAAAGGCAGGCGCCAAACCGCTGCGCCACCCAGGGATCCCTCTGCAAACAAATATTTTAAGTCTCTGGTAACAAATTACTGTGCCACTTTACAGACTAAGATCTACATACTAATGTATACAATTGAAAACTATGTATATGTTTTCAATTGTATACAAACTGCAACTGTTGATCTGCAGTCTAACAATAACATAAAAGATAAAAACTTAAAACTCCTACTACTTTTTTTGAACCTGGATTTAAAAATGTAAAACAGTAATTAATGTATATATGCCTCAAAATTTTATAGTGCTTTTTCTACACACACTGAAAATCATTAGTGTATTCTGATCCTATTCTGAAGGGATTAACACTCTAATCATGTCCCAAGGCATTTCATTGGTAACTTGGTGATTTATAAACTCCCTTCATACTCCGAGACAATAACACAAGACCAGTAACAATAAAGCTTTTTCTTATACTAAATGCGTTAGGACTTCAAACACTCCCAAACATTTCAGGAAAAAACAACCTAGGAATCCAAAATTTTAGATTATTTTATACACAATACATCTCCTGAGTTCAAACTCTGTCAGAAGCAATTACAACCCTACGTTTAAAACATACCGTCAAGACGCTGTAAAGCAGACTTCCTGTCTTTGGGAATTCAAATAGTATGTATTCCTAAACCCTAATCTTGGGTTTTCGACTAAAAAGCTTCCAACCAAGATATCAATTGGGCTCTGTTGGCAACTGGAGCAAAAACCCCAAAGATGGGATTTTCAGTGAGTCTAGCATGCATAATTAACAAGTCTCCGTTGCTTCATCTCGAGAAAGACCCCAAACGCAAAGCTTTTCCTCCACCTCCGTTGAGCCCGAGTTCAGAAATTCTAGACTAGCCCAGAGGAAAGGAGAAAACAGCAGCCCCTTGGGGAGAGGGAGGTGCGAGTCTCTCTAAGCTGGTTGGGCGGGAAGAGGCGGACGGGGGGGGGTGCTGGGGAGCAGGCATGGGTTTCGCGGCACTTACAGGTCCGTCAACACCATGAGCTCGGAGTAGGCCCGGTGCAGAAGAAATTCGATGAGGGTGCTCAGCCGGTAGCCCGGGCTGGCCGCGGCTGCAGCGGCCGCCGCCACGGCGGCTCCTGGAGGAGGAGGCGCAGGGGCTGACGCGGGACCACCGCTGGCCCCGCCACCGCCTCCAGGCGGGACCAACTGGTGGTTCTCCAGCTGCACTGGGGCCATGGCGGCGCAGGGCCGGACTTGGCGCAGCGGCACAAGATGAAGCCCTTGAGCCTCCCGGGCGCTCGGTCACCGCGCCTAAGTGGGCGCGGGCAGAGTCGCCACCGCCTACCGCCAGACCGCCTCCGAACAGGAAGCCGTGCGCCAGCCGCGGAGGCCCGCCCCCATGTAGCGACAAGCCCGCCGGCCCCAGAGACTGGAGCGAAGGGCGGGGGGAAGTGGGGGGAGGCAGGGAGGCGGGGAGGGCGGGGAAGCAGGACGGCCTCCGCAGAGAAGCTGCGCCTCCGCAACCGATCAGAGGCAGCTTCGCCAGGCAGCCGCAGCGTCCATGTTGACGGCTCAAAGCGGAAGTCGTTAGGCTGAACGGAAGGGAACCTGCAGGGGGACTTCCGACAGCAACCTGTGCCTTTTTTCCCCGGCTGTCCGGCGCCGTGACGCTGGGGGGCGCGTGGGAGTGGGGCGGGGCCGGCGCGCGGGCCGGGAAAGCGGAAGCGGGGGCTGTGCGTCGCCGGAAATGGGTGTGAGGGCGGAGCCGGCGGCGTCACCGCGGACGTCAGTAGTTGCCCCGCCCTTGCCTTCGCCGCCCGCCGGTGCTTAAAAGGCTTCAAAGTACTGTGAGGTATTTATCAACGCTCCCCAATGGGGCCAAACGCGACTGGGGAGGTTTCCTCCCAAGATGTTCGTGAGTTGTATTTCTGGAATCGCGAAGAAATTGTGGCGGCTGCGCTCTTGTGGCTTCTCAGATCTTTGCTCCTCCCACAGTCTGCTCATGCGCTTTTCGTGGGATAGCAAACGTTTCCGTCATTGTTGGCTTTTTTTTTTTCCTTAACTGTGGGAAAAGATGCGAGAAAATATGATGGGGGGCAGGAGCAGGGCTTTTGGCAGAATAACTTCACTTTAATGAAGTTGGATATGCGTATATCTCGTTTCCGACCCCCTAAATCCCGGGAGTTCTACCACAGAAAAAGCCCTTAAATCCTCTACCGCTGGCTTTCACTCAGTTCTTGTCCCTGCTCTTGCAGTCGACGCCCTGCCCTCCTAAGGTTTTCAGTTCTTTTTCTATGCGCTACCTCCACTTTTCCCCTTCAAAATCCACGTTTAGTTTTTTGCTTCTTGCTTTAAAATGGTGACTCAACCCAGCCTGCACGTTGGAATCGCGGGGCGTGAGGGGCGGGGCTTTAAAAAATACTTATGCCACCCTCCTAGGTTCGGCTTTAAGTGGTCGGATGTGAGGTCTGTGTTAGAAGGTTTTAAAAGCTTCCTAGGTGATTTTATTGTACAGCTAAGGTAGAAATCCACTGTTAAAAAAATAACAATTGCTGTGACTCTTTTTTCAAACATCCTTTTGGAGATTCCTATCTGTAACTCTTAGGTGTAAGAGATGCCCTTGTTCTTTCATGTATAAAATACTTTTTGCCCACTTAGTAATTCTCAGTCATTCCTGAAGGCCGTTCACTTGTCTCCCAAAGGTGTAACCTTTGGAGTATAGTCGCTTGCTCTCTTTTGTGGCCTTTAAGCATATTTACACTTAATAGCATCATGGTACTCCTCAGAATGCTTTCGGAGTACTTATGGATAGTGCAGTTGCTGGGGGGCAGAGACTATCATCCCTCCCTATGCAAGTTACATCAGGGAACAAACATTTTTCTGTTAGCTAGAATGGTACCATTTCTTTTGCAGTTTTTGTTTGTTTTACTGAAGTTCTCCCCCACTCTTCTTGAAAACTATCGACTTGGGTTAAAAAAAAAAAAGTGGTCACAGACACGCGAAAGATAAATGGTCGTATAAGATGGTGTTTAACGTCTTTTCTAACTCTCAGATTCTCATTCTGTGTGATGTTGATAGGGTTTTAACTCTGCCTTATTGCATATATTAAACACAGTTATGCACTATGTCTTTCGGTATACATTCTATTTGTCAGTAAGGGTCTCCAGAGACAGTATGACCAACTTGCAAATAAAAGAAAAAAAATTAATTGGATGGGTTTGTTTTAGAATAGAGAAAATCTCACCCACATCCATCAGATTAGATTCTATTGAAATATCTGTGAGTTGAAATAGGTATCTTTAAAAATTGGAAAGTACTTGTTAAAAAGGATATTCTAAAGGAAAACAAGGCAAAAAATCTAGGAATAAAACTGTGAGAGGTGCTATGCTTGAATTGTTGGCGATCAGGGAGGTAATACAAATGAAAGCTCAAAGGGGTGATAGCCCACCTCCCAACCTGATAGTTTAGCTGTTAGACAAATACAGGAAGTGCTAGTGAGGAAATGAATGGGGAAGGAGAAAAATTGTTAGCAAGTTTGGCTGAGTTACTAAAGGAATGACTCCTCCGAATCACTTTTGTAAATCGTGTAATTTATAATTTTACAGCCTATAGTACAGTGCTTGGCTTTGTAGTATATATACATAATTCTTTCATTCATAACTATTAATTATTCCTCTATTTGGTCATCACCAGATTCTTCACACTTCAGATAGTTTCAGAGCTAGCAGCATGGTATTTCCTTGGCTCTTCAATTGACCTAAACATTTGAGATCTTTCATGAAGTCAATCTGATTTTAATAAATTGATTGCAAAATAGGGAGAAATAAAAACATTTCCTTTTAAGCCCTCTTGATAGAAAAATAGAATTGTGATAAATAAAACTTCATTTTGAAGCATACAACTGCCCCTCAGACACAAATGAGTGGGAAAGAGATTGAAAAGTAATTTTTTCTTTTTTTTTTTTTTTTTACGAGATACTACAGTCAGTTCCTCCAAAGCAGACTGCAAAAGCAGTAACTGCATTCATTCAAGAGATGCTCCATTGATGGTAAAGTTGAGGAAAGGAAGTCAATACTGTGAGTGTGGTCTGACCAATGTAGAAAAAGACAACACTTTTATTGTTTTTGCCTGTAAAAGAAAACCCAAACTTCTTACAGTGGTCTCTAAAGCCATTAACAAAGTGACCCTTGCCTGCTTCTCCACCACTCTCATGCCACTCTTTCCTTCGCTTACTACACCTATAACCTCACTGGGTCTAGCACATGCTGTTCTCCACAATGTTAGGGCTTGTCCACTGTTCCAAATATGGGAAACACTTGTTTCCCAGTTGTCCCAGTTCAGGTGGCTGGTTTCTCATCCTTCCAGTATCTGTGTAAATGAGAAAATCCTTAGCGAGGCCTCCCCTGACTATATGATATTAGGAATGTAAAAGGAATTTCATTGCCCTATTGTAGAAGCAAAATGGCTGAGTAAATTGCTATTTTTTTTTTTTAAGATTTGTTTATTTTAGGGACACCTGGATGGCTCAGTGGTTGAGCACCTGCCCCTGGCTCAGGGCGTGATCCGCAGTCTCAGGATCGAGTCCCACATTAGGCCCCCTGCCTGGAGCCTGCTTCTCCCTCTGCCTACGTCTCTGCCTTTTTCTCCCTGTCTTTCATGAACAAATAAATAAAATCTTTTATTTATTTATTTATTTTTAAATAAAATCTTTTAAAGAAAAAAAGATTTATTTTAGAGAAAGAGAAAGTACATGCAGTGTGAGCACACAGTTGCGCAGAGGAAGGAGAGAGAGGATCCTCAAGCAGACTCCTCACTAAATGCAGAGCATGACACGGGGCTTGATTCCAAGACCTTGAGATCACAACCGGAGCTGAAATCAGGAGTTGTCCACTTAACCAACTGAGCCACCCAGGCTCCCCAAACTGCTGTATTTCTATGTAACTGTTCAAATGAAGGAATTAAACCTATATGTAACAACATAGATACATCTCAAAAACAATACTGAATGAAAACAGCAATCTTTTTTGATATTGATACATTTCTGTCCATTTTTATTTTTTATTTTTTAAAATTTAATTTTAATTCCAGTGTAGTTAACATACACTGTTATATTGTTTTTAGGCATACAACATAGTGATTTACCAATTCTATACATCACCTTGAGCTGTCATGACAAGTGTACTTCTTATTCCCCATCACTTATTTTATCCGCCCCCTCCCCTCTGGTAACCATTAGTATGTTCTATATAGTTAAGTGTCTGTTTCTTACTTTGTATCTTTCTTTTTTTTCTTCACTCATCTGTTTTGTTTCTTATTTCTGCCCATTTTTGAAGCATGCAAAATAACGCTATAATTTCATATATTGTAGTCAAAGTGAAAAATGTAAATGAGGATGACATAGCATTTTCAGGATGGTAGTTACATCTAGGGAGGGGTAAGGGATGAGGCAGTGCTTTATTGGTTGTTAGCTATTAGTTCTATGTAATGGGTTTACTGAAGAAATACCTGAAGGAAATGTGATAATATCTATTAAATCTGGGTAGAAAGAGATGATTGTTAATATATTCTGTACATTTCAGTATTTTTAAAAATGTCATAATTTGTTAAAGTTTAAAGTGTTTCTGTTAATTTACACAAGCTGCCATAATAAACCACTAAATCACAGTGACTTAACAGTAAGAGTATTTCTTGTGCTCACAAAGTTCAGTAAAGATATTACCTGATGGAGATGCCCATCCTACTCTAAGTAGTAACCCAGAGATCCAGGCTCCTTCTACCTTGGGAAGCCATCACTTTAACCAGGAGATTTTTTTAGTGTTCACCCACATTCCATTATTCAGAATTAGTCACATGGCTAGGAGCTGGGTTAGTCTATGTTGTCTCAAATGGCAAGACTTTTTCTTTTTTATGGCTAGGTGATATTCCATTGTATATATACCACATCTTTTTTATCCATTCGTTTATCAGTGGACACTTAGGTTACTTCCATACCTTGGTTATTGTAAATAATGCTGCAGTGAGGGCTAGGGAGTGAAGAATGGGTGAAAAAGGTGAAGGGAATTAAGAGGTACAAATTTCCAGTTATAATAAGTTGCAGAGATGAAAAGTACAGCATAGAGAGTAGTCAATAATATTATAATAATGTTATATGGAGAAAGATGGTGACTACGCTTACTGTGGTAAGCAAAGCTTAACATATAGAATTGTTAAATCACTATGTTGTGTCCCTGAAATTAACATAACATGGTATGTCAACTATACTTAAGTAATAAATTCTTTTTTTAAGAGTTATTAATTATTTTAGAGGTGGGGAGAAGAGAAAGAGGGTCAAGCAGACCCCGTGCTGAGCACAGAACCTCATGCAGGGCTCAATCTCACAACTCCAAGACCATGACCTTAGACAAAATCAAGAGTCAAACACTCAACCAAGCCACCTACTCAGGTGCCCCAATAATAAATTCTTCTTAAAATAAAGGCCATGGAGCTGGGAAATACAGTCTTGTGTGCCTAGGAAGAAAATGAAATGGTTTGGTGAACAAATAGCATTGTTTTTACCACAAGATTAAAGTAGTCTTATCTCTGTCTCTCTCTGTCTC